TTGGCTTATGTATCTAGATATAGAAAAACTTACTGCATTTTTGCCCGATATCTTAATTACTCTAATACATTTAAGCTGAAACCTATACCTTAAACCATTTTTAAATAGGTATATTGAGATCTTCAGAAGTAGCAGGAGTGAAATCAGAGGATTATATGATCCACCAAGAAGATTGCTGGGCCAGCGACCGGGACCATATGATAGACCAATAGGAGGAAGAGGGGGTTATTATGGAGCTGGGCGTGGAAGTATGTATGACAGAATGCGACGAGGCGGTGATGGATATGATGGTGGTATGTGTATCTAATGAACAAAGGTTCTGTTGTCATTTTCTTAATATTCCTGACACTTTGTCAAGAAATATAGAAATGGCAGTAATTTCAGTACCTACTAGGTTTTAAAACCTGTTCATGAAAATACGGATTCCCATGGCCAGCTGTGGGGACTTGATTGATGCACATATTAGCACCTAGATAACATATACAGAAATTAAAATAAAGATATTGTATATTCTGACATTTTTCTGTTTGGCATCAGTGAAAATTTTGATATCTGATTGGACCTTTTGTGATTTTAATTTCCACCAAGTGTTAACTGCTTTCTTTCACATTTTGGGAGTTGCAAACTTGTAATTAATAATTTGACCAGACTGCTTATCACAAAGTATGCTTTTGTAAACTAGATTATAAAATTGATCTCTTTAAAGTGTATTCGTTTATTTCTCAAATTATGCAGGTTATGGAGGTTTTGATGACTATGGCGGCTATAATAATTATGGCTATGGAAATGATGGCTTTGATGACAGAATGAGAGATGGAAGAGGTAAACTAAATATTAAAGATATACTCAGTTTTGAATTTAAGTATATGCTTTACAGCTACTTAGTGGTAATATAGGTGATGTATATAAAGTCAACTCTGGCATCTTTTAGTGCGTTCCTACATAGGGCTTTTATATGATGTATACTTACAGGTAAATTCTCTTTAATGTTCAGAACGCCTGTAAGTGTTAAGATCATATGAGGTAAATTGAGAAAAGTGTGTGTAGGAAAGAAATGTTTTGTTGAAATGCTTTTTTTCCTACGCGTATCAGTTTATAATCTTTGGAAACTTTATTCTCTAGGTATGGGAGGACATGGCTATGGTGGAGCTGGTGATGCAAGTTCAGGTTTTCATGGTGGTCATTTTGTACACATGAGAGGATTGCCTTTTCGTGCAACTGAAAATGACATTGCTAATGTGAGTGATTTTAGTAATTTATTAGTCGTTTTATACTTAATCCTAGTATCTAAATTTTGAAGCCTTCTTAGTGTTCTCTTTTTTTTTATATACTCAATGTCAGAATTCATCTAATGTGAATGTATCTTTAGCTTAAGTGGTTGATAAATATTTTTGTATCTGTTGTGTGCTGACCTACATAGGATTCAAGCAAGTAAAAGTTTTAAGCCCAGTTAAGAATTGACAGACTGATCATAGAGTGGTTATGACTAGAAGATTGTTTCTCTTGTATAAAGTTTTGAAAGTGTAAATATGTTAAGTCAATATATTTTAGTAGTTTGGTTTGACTTTCTAGGCTACATGGTGAGGAGCTGAAAATAATGGAAGTACATGCTGCTATTGATTTGAAACTGGTTGGTTTCAAATTGGTTAGAGAATCAGCAAACTTCAGCCCATGGGCCATATCCAGTCACACGCAGTCATTTACTATCGAGGTCTTAAAGAAAATTTTTGCTCTAGATCTTACTGGTAACCAGTTGACCTAAGTTCCAGGTGCCTTTTAGGATCACTGGAACCTGATTAATTTATGGATTAGAACTAAATTATGTATTTGGGGAGCTGTCCATATACAGTTGGTAGGTTTATCAAACTCCATCCTTCTGAATCAACACCCAATTTCTCTGCACATACTTCTAGGAAACCTGTTTATATTTCAAACAACAATTGTGAAATACCTTTCTTGGGAGTGGGATGCTAATTCTGTAAGTAGTAGGGTTATGAAACTTGATCTATTTAGGGTAAACTGTTCTCTAGGTTAGAAATATGTTTCTTTTTAAATTTAATATTACCTAGCTTATTTTAGAAAATATCATTCTGTAATTTTCCCCAAGTGTATAGTCTTATATTCCTAGAACCTCTGTTGATGCAATTGTTAGCCTTGCAACATAGGACAGAAGGGTTTGTTTTAATGGATGAGGAAAAATCAAGGCATGTGGTAATTTCAGTAATATAAATAGAAAAATAAGTAGTGTTTTCTTTTATTTAGTTCTTCTCACCACTAAATCCAATACGAGTGCATATTGATATTGGAGCTGATGGCAGAGCAACAGGAGAAGCAGATGTAGAGTTTGTGACACATGAAGATGCAGTAGCTGCCATGTCTAAAGATAAGAATAACATGCGTAAGTGGTATCTTTGGCATGCTACCGTGTTTGCAAGGTGTGAACTTGCTTGTAAGTTCAGACTTTTGCTTTCTAGAGGACTTTTTATTGAAGTTAATTCAGACTCTTAATACTTGACAGATTATTGGAGCTTAAATTGTTAAAGAGGGAAAATAGGTATGTCACTTGAACTTGTCTGAGTTCCCATGCCTTTGGCAAATTAATACCACTTCTTACCTGTACATTGATCAACTTGGTAAGTTATTCCTGAATGCCATCAAATCTGTTTTTTAAGCCATTAAATTTCACCTTGACCAGTGATTCCCAAATCTGGCTGCACATTCAATCACTTGATACTTAACTCTTAAATTAAGATTCTGATTCAGTTCTACGACTGGGCCTGGAATATATTTTTTAAGTAGTATACCAGTTGCTTCTGAAATAATGGATCAGCCTTTTTATAGATAAGGCAACTGAGGCCCCAAAACACTTTCTATATTTGTTCAAGGTTGTACAATTTGAATGAAACCTAAAATTTAGGCCGATCTGGCATACATTTAGGTTAATACTAACCAGTCGGCCTTTTTTTGTGTTTTGGTAAATTTGATCCATCATTTCTTTCCCCCCTATTACTTTCACTTTTTTTCTCTAAAGAACACCGGTACATTGAACTCTTCTTGAATTCTACTCCTGGAGGCGGCTCTGGAATGGGAGGTTCTGGAATGGGAGGCTACGGCAGAGATGGAATGGGTATGTATGAAGTTTTATAAATAAGCAGAGTTAGAGACACTTAGCAATCAGTCTTAAACTTTTTTTTTTTTTTCCTCCCAAGATAATCAAGGAGGTTATGGATCTGTTGGAAGAATGGGAATGGGGAACAATTACAGCGGAGGCTATGGTACTCCTGATGGCTTGGGGGGTTATGGTAAGTGTCATTGGTTACTGAGGTTTAGTTTATGTTAGTCTCCATATATCATACAGACAACTTAAAGTTCATGTATTACTATCTTCTACATTGATACCACCTACTAAACAATTCTTAACGTCTTTTTTTCTAAGGCCGTGGTGGAGGAGGCAGTGGAGGTTACTATGGGCAAGGTGGCATGAGTGGAGGTGGATGGCGTGGGATGTATTAAAGCATAACCACCAACATAAAAAATCCTGACATCATCTGGTCTACTAGACTTTCGTACAGATTTAATTTCTTTTGTATTTTAAGAACTTTATAATGACTGAAGGAATGTGTTTTCAACATTATTTGGTAAAGCAACAGATTGTGATGGGAAAAATCTGTTTTCTGTAGGTTTTATTTGTTGCATACTTTGACTTAAAAATAAATTTTTATATTCAAACCACTGATGTTGATACTTTTTATATACTAGTTACTCCGAAGGATGTGCTGCTTTCATAAGATTTGGGTTGATGTATTTTATTATTAGCTCTACAAGAAGTAGTACAGTGTACTTTCAGAGTACAATGGTTCCACCTCTGCATAAGCTGTAAGTCTTAATAAGCAGACATCTGGAATAGAGCTTGGAAAATAGTCTTTTTTTTTCTTCTTTTTTTTTCTTTTTTCTCCTGGACAACACTGTAAATATATAGCACGTAAAGATGAGTTTAGATGGCTTCAGGAGTATAAATTCAGCTAATTCTATATTTGTCTTTTTCAAATGTCACTTAACCAGGCATAGCTCTGAAATGTTGATAATCTAAGAGGTATCTGGATTTCTGAATATTCATAATTGTGTTACCTGGAGATTGGAGTGTTGGAAATTTAAATTCTAGCCCTAGATTTTAGAATAAAATTCCCTCAGCACTTGACAGAAGTACCAAAAAATGTATCCAAAAAGTGATAGTTGTAAATTATCTCAAACTGTCTTAGACTAGATTAAGGTTCTCAGTGACATCAGAATTCAGTACAAGTACAAAAATATTTACTGTGGAGTATAATTCTCACAGATGTATTTTTAGTTTCTGCCCAATAGTTAAAGCATATGGTTTTTAAATAACTGTATAACTTAAAAAATGTAAGAGGCAAGTCTATGTTGTAGTCTTCATTAAAATGAAAGTTCTGCAGTTGGGTTTTGCATCTGATACTAGTTGGGAGTTTTAGAGCCTTTGTGTTAAAAACTATATGTAGCCAGGAAACGGTGCTTTTTACTTTTAATCCCTTTGATCAATATGGCTTTTTTCCAAATTGGCTAATGGATCAAAATAAAACCTGTTAATGTGAATTCAGTTACTGAGTTATTGAACTTGTTACTTGTTTTTGCTAGAAATGTTATTAATGTAATAAATATCAATGTGGGAGATAATAGTATGGCGTCTGTCCGAGAATGCTTTGTGTCATTTACTGATTAAAAATCAAATTGGTAGAAGGTACTAAATGTCCAATTGAAGATCAGTTACTCCTAAGGAATGGTTTCTGCTGTTAGGCTACCTTCCCTATCAACCCAAGCAATTCATCTTAATGCCTGTACCCACTTCCTTATATATTAGGTTCATACCACTTACATTTTTAAAGATTACATGTGCTTTTATTTTCCCCAAGAGTATCCTATTAAAATCTACAAGCAGTAAAAATACAAAACATTAAAAATGAAAGTTGCCCTTTTAAACAGGCTAATTTTTGAAATCTTTTACTTGGTTTATAAAACGCACATTTTATTTTAAAACATTGCAGGGTGGAATGACAATCACAATTCCTTGGCACCATGATAGCATTATTATGGTAGTACTGGCTAGATGAGAGAATGGTTATGTGAAGTTTAGTAAGATAAATACTTCTGTGAGGGCAAATCTTACTTGAAAAGTAAAAGTGTAGGTTCACAATCACAAAATACAAATCAAAGGTTTTGTAACAAAAGACAAAATTAGTGTAAGTGGTTTCTTAAAAAGCCAAAACTAAATGGAGCAAGTTGTATTGCTGCCTACAAAAAGCCCAAATCAGTGGTGATACATGAGTTTTGAATGGCAAAGAATTTAAAGGGGGACTAAAAATCATAGTTTATTTGTTGAATGAAACCAGCCTTGGAATTTAAGGGAAAAATGCCATTTTAAAAGTTGTTCTAAGTACAGTAATAAAAAAGGCCTAGTATTTGAAATTTTTCATTTTTGCTTATTTTCAGCAATCATAAAAATGTTAATCCATCCCATCAATACAAAACAGTTCAAGAATATAATTCATATCTCTGGATAACATTTCTATTAGCATTCAAGAAAGACCACCTAAAATATGTTTTGAAGACATCAAATTGGGTTATGGAGAAAATAAATCTTCCAAGTAAAATGCTAGTTTTCATACTTTGGCAATTTAGAAATTAAATAATTTTAAACTTAGTGAAAGTATGTACTTCACTGAGGAAAAGATATTGCAGAATAAAGTAACATCCTAAGGGGTAGAGAAATGGCCATGATTAAAATCACTAATGTCCCTAGAATTAACTAATGTTCCTAGAATTAATGTAAGATTCCTAATATGACATTCTTTGAAAGATTCACAGGCTTAAAGTGCATGGCAGAAATTAAACTAATAGGAAAAAAAAATTAGGCTCCCAAGTGATGATGCTGTTCAAGTGATTAATTATATAAGGGTAACTAGAGATTAAATTCTTGGTATGCTATAAGCAATACAACAGATTTAGTGTTTATTCAATCTTTCATGCTTGAAACGGTTCAAGTATATTTCATTGTAGGGCTGATACCATATCTTCCAAAGACCCTGGCTTAGAAGGGCTCAGTATATGCTGAATTTTTTACTCATGCAGTAGTAGACCACTGCAATGTAATGCTTAAAAGTTGCTGGAAAAGATCTACAAGTAGCAGCAACATAAGGTAAAAGGATGATGGTTTTTCCTTTCAAAATAAGGGAAAAGGTGAGGCAAAATAATGCCTCTTTGTGTCTGAAAGGTACCAGCAAGTACATTGATTTTAGGAGGAAGACAAAAGGGGAATTGTACAAAATACTGGCTTTTTCTAATGCAAAATGGGCAAAGGAAGGGGGGGGAGAAAGGGGGCAAATAAATAAAGTTAGCTTGAAATCTTGCCAAGCTAATGGAAAATCTTGAAGTGAAATATTAATGCTTGTGAAAAGTTCTATGCATTTTCAGTCTTTCTCTGAGAACCATAAAGCTTTAAAGTGCATTAGGAAAATTACAGGCACCACAAATACCAACCAACACAACAATTAGGAGCATACATCCGAAGCCCTAAGAAGGCCATTACCAAATAAGGCAAATGTGTTAGCTATGCTATCTGGCCTTGCGTTGTCATTAAGAATTACATGATTATTACATGAATTAGGAATTAAGCTGAAGTTATTTTAAAGCATGCCCTCTTGAAAATTCTTTTTGAATACCAATGGAAAAGGAAATACCAAATTACACAACTTCTAATTCCCATGAATTGAATATGTGGAAGAAACTGTTACCAGTACTGTCTGAAAGCTGCTTAAGAAGGGCTGTCTGAATATGTTGTGTACATGTTCATATGTAACATTCATCGTAAGTACTTCAGCATACAGTAAGGATTTAGTTCTGGAGTCTTAGGGCAAATTAGATGAGCATCTCTGAATCAGCAATGCGTGACAGGAATCACAAACCCGTACTGGCTTTGGTGAAGAAGGCAAAGGCAGTTCGTTGTCAGAACAAGCATTACAGAAAATTTCCCCACAGTTTCTACAGTGGTGCTATTTGTGGAAAAATCAGAGAAAAAAACTTTATGAATATAATCAGAAACCATATTTGTACTAAAACTTTTGGGCTTACTACTTCACTTACCTTTCTCTTAGAGAGGGAGAATTCCTTTTCACAAAGCTTGCAATGTGTTGCTTCTTTGTCTTTCAACCAAACCAGTCCCTAGTAGGAAGCAAAAGTAAATATTGTTCAAATTGGTAACACTAAAAATTACATTTTCAACCAAGAACATTTTACAGGGATATATACAGATTAATAAAAAATGAGCCATTTTTCTAAAAAACGTTGTAGATTAAATAAGTGTGGATTTTGCTTTAATTCATGAGGGAGAAGGGATATGGGCTGAATAGAAGTAAAATAAGACGGGCCGTATATTGATAAACATTGAAACTGGGTAATGGTTTGTTTTTCTCTCTACAATTGTATGTTTGAACATTTCCATGATAAAATCCTTTTAAAAAGTAAAAATCTATTACTGATGGGGAATTCTCTTGAAGAACCTTAAAGATTACCTACTCTGACAACGTTTAAGGATAAATGCACTGGGCTGGCCGAGTGGCGCATTGGTTAAAAGTTGGCTTGGGAAGCCAGCTCTGAGCAGCAGGGCCCCGGTTTGGATCCCACATGAGGGCCAGTGACACCGCCCTCTACAGCTAAGATGGTGAACAACAGCTCAACCTGGAACTGGGCTGCCGTGAGTCGCCAGCGATGGCGTAGGCTGCCGTAAGCTACCGTGAAGTGGCCAGCAGCCAGCAGCCAGCATGAGCCGCCGTGAGCAGCCGACCAATGGCCAGTGAGTGATCTGCCTCAGCTGGGAAGAGCACAATGATCACAATACCAACATGGGCCAGTGAAGCAACGTCCTCCACAACTAGACAAGAACAAAAGGACAGCAACTTGTCTGTTCCCCTTCCCGGATTCCCCAACGCTGTTCCCTCCCCCAATTCCTCAATGAAATCTTTTTACATTTTATAGACGTATAAGAAAACACATGTTCAAATACAACTAAACAACCCAAAAAAAGGCAATTAACTCCAGAAGAAATTTTTTAAAAAGTAGTGTACTGTGATTATAATACTTGGCCCAGCAAAGAACAATATTAAAAGTCATAATGAAGAATATATAGTAAATGAATTTCACAAAAACTTTTCCTTAATTATACTGGGAGGACAGGGAAGAGAAGACCAGGATGAAAATCAGCAAAACTCATCCACCATGTTAACCAGGCAATAGATGGGTCTAAAATAGATTGGTCTTAAATAAATTAAGAGCAAATAGCATATACTGCATATCACTTAGAAATGGATAAAAGCCCAAAGAAACAACTAAAAGTACTTCCCTTCTGGTGGCACGAACTGGGGTGAATAAGATAAGGGGGTGAAGAAGAGACTGCTGCCAATATTTCATTCTTTCTAGCACTATTTGACTCTATTTTCATTGAACACTTTGATAAAAAGCAAAATGGGTAGCTTGTGCAGGAGGAAACCATCTGTCATTGAAGTACTCCCACACAGACTATTTTTGTCTATGTTATAGAAGGGATTCTTGCATCCAGACACATTCAGAACCATATTCTGTACCAACCACTTTCACATATATTAACCTACCCAATATTCAAAGCAACTCTATGCAAAATCGTAAGTCCATCATGAGGATATGTGACTTGCTGAAGGTCAAAACTAGTAAATAATAGAGTGGCACAGGGATTCAAGGGTTCTCAAATTCAAAGGCAATTACACTCTTATCATGCCACATTCTATAGAAAGTAGACAAAATTATTTCCAAGGTTATTTCCAACATTAATAATGTGATTCTAAAGGTACAGAAAAGAGCTGGATCCCCATCACCCAGGCTCCCCATTCAGCATTTCTACCTCTAAATCCTGGGATTCAATAATAATAACTTAGATTTATACAGGGCTTTACCTTCTACTCAAGATTGACTTCCACATATTTCTTAAGGAAAACTTTCTACTCACCTGCAATGCTTTGTTGGCTTCTTTTATATCTTCTATTTTAAGTTTTGATCTAAAAAAATTACAAACAGGTCCAAATTTCAGTACACAGATTTAAATATAGAACATGCAGTAGAAAGAACATTCATTAGAAAGGTATTGTTTCTTCACAGGATATAAACTATATATACCACATGATTTGAATAATCTGGCTACTGGGATATTTTATATTTTCCTGTATTTTACAATTGAAAGCAAAAATGTCGTTTTTAAATTTTTAAAAATTGCATTTTTACGGAAAGAATATTGGCATTTTCATGTGGTTATGACAATATTAATAATAGTTACCATTTATTGTTGGCTTAAGGTCTGCCACACACTTATGCTATAACCTTTGCATGCATAATCTCATTTAATCTTCAAAAAAACATATCTTAAAGATGAAGAAAGAGGCCTGATGAGGTTTAATCACTTGCAACACGTCACAGAGTTGGTAACTGGGGATGCTAGTATTCAAACCCTGGTCTGAGACCCCAAAGCCCATCTGCTAACCATTATGTACACTATTTGTCTAGGAGATGCAAAAGGGGGGAAAATTTCAGGAAGATGATATAGCTGTAATACTTTTTCACTTTCAACTTTTGAAAATACATATTAATGTACATGCAAATTATAAATAGCATTATTTAATTACTTGTGATCCCTCTACCCAGAGATGATAATCTCTACATGTCAATGAGTGTGTATTTTATTTTTTTTTATTGTTAGTTTCAGGTGTAAGTGTGTATTTTAAATGGAATCATTATGACACTTTTCCATAAGCAGTTCTTTACACTTAACAATATATCCTGAAAAGGCTCAAAGCTACTGACTTATTAACCATCTGCCAATTATGTTAAATGGTTACAAGTATATACCATGTATATACCAAGTATATACCATGAAAAAGAATACAAAGTAGTATATATAATTATCTACTGCTAAACTTTCAACTTGTTTCAAATTATTTGCCACAAAAAGTATTCATTAAAATTGGAATGACCAAAACATCTGTATTATTTTTCTTAGAGCAACAATTTAGAAATGAAATTACTGATCAAAAGATACATCAAACACTGAAGTCTACTCATGAAGCAGAACATTAGGAACTTGCTCCACCCTACAAATGCTCTTTGTTCCAAGACATAAAAACAAAGTGTTAAGTCTTCTCTGTGGCTCATACTGACTCTTACATTGAGAATAATCAATGAAAAATTACACAGAATAGTCAAATTTTCTTGGGTGAATTCACATCTACAAAATGCACCACAGGAAAATTGATGCTGGTGGGAATAATGGCCAAAACAAAAACTGTGCTGTATATAAAAACTGAATATGGAATGAAAGTAGTTTAATAGCATTCACTACAGAAATACTCTGAAAATTTACTGGTGTTAATAGATTTCTGGTTAAAATATCTTTATTCACAAATAGGGACTTTAAAAACTTGCCCCCTCTAATACGAATTGGTAAAGTATCCGAAAGAAAGGGGGTATCAGTTCCAGTTCCAATAGACTCAATGTACAAGAACACCTTCTCCTTGTCCTAGACAGGGAAGAAACACATGTCTACATTACTCCTTTTAATTAGCTTTTATTTAGGAACATGTATTTAAGTGTATGAAAATATTTGACCATGACATGAAAACAGCATGGAGAAGGGTCAAAATAAAATGTGAGAATATAAATGTGATACAACCAATTATGACACTCTAGGAAAACATCCATAAAATATAACAAGCCTAAAACCCTGTTTTTGAGGGGGAAAAAACTATAAACTGTCAATCAGAACATAGATATATTAATTACTCTAAGATTCTCTTCCTTGAATATTCCATCCTAATATTTCATATGTTCCATGTTTTCTTCAAATATGAATAGTTCAAGTTTATTTTCATTTTTAAAACCCTATTCAATCATAATTTATTTAGAACAATAACATTTAAAGCCTTTTAAAATCTATCAAAAATTCTCTATAAGAATCTTTCAATAAGAAACCAAGAGTAAATATTTCATTATTAAAACTATCTTTCTAATTAACATTAATCATTTCTTTTTAAAATCGCAGGTTCAGAGTGTAAGCACTGGAGAGTAATTTTCAGATCCAACCTGCTCATCTGCAGACAAGAAAACTGATATTCTGGTTGCTATGAGGAAAGGCCCTGTGCTAGGTGCTTTCACACACTTATCCTCTGTAAATGAGAAAAACAACTCTGGGGGTTTTATAACTCTTCAATTTACGAATAGAGCAATGGGTTTAAAGAGATTAAATAACTGACCCTAAGTCACACAGCTGGTAAACAGTAGAGGGATAGTAATTCCTGTGAGTGACATTAATGAATACTAATTTTTAAATTTAGTCATATCTTGAAAATGCAGATCTTAAATGGTAAATTTAAAAACTATTCTTTCTGAAATATTAATTTTTCCCTTTTTACCAAATTAAACATTTCACATTATTCTATATGACATTCTCCTTCCCACTCCCCATTTTAAATAACACCCAAATGGTCTATATAAAGCCTGAAGCCAATTCTGGTCAATTAGGAGCAAAGGTTAAAAAGTATCCACCCCCCAAAAAAATTCCCCCCCACCAAAAAAAAAGTATTGAGCCAACTTCAGGCCCTCATCATCAAAAAATTTTAACGACATATTCATTATCCTGTGTATTAGTAAGGAATTTGTTTTTACTTAGATTCAATCTGATAACATACAATCACAGGAGTAGGAGGACGAAGAGGAAGAAGAAAAGTGTGTTCAGCAGATACACTTGTACAGACAGGGAAAACTTATAGGGCCACTGGTACCTTCTCCAGCCCTGATAAAATTCTTGTCACTGCAGAAGAGAACTAGAGAAAAAATAAAATATGTTCTGACTCACAATTGGCCCATGTCTTAGGGAATATGGGTCTCAGAAGTAGTAAAGGAAAACTAATAAAGCTGCACCACAAAATTCAAACATTAGCAATGAAAAAACATATATCAAAAATAAAGTAAAAAGACAAATGACAAATGGGGAAAGATGTACACTGTGTACAATTAATTTATAAAGATCCCATAAGAAAAAGAGCTATTATAATGACAAGAATACTGCTCAAGTGTGAATCCAAAACTGTTAGAGCTTTTAAACCATAAAGCATTTGGTAAACTATTGCTGAGCTTTTTTCTGTTGCCAGTAGCAGCCTGCTTTTCCATTAATGGAGAATTCATGCCTTTCAAGCATTTTAAATATGATATTTATAAATGTGTGGTTTGGAGGAATTATTTCAATTCTTTTTCTTAATTTCCTTTCTCTTCAGAATAGATTCTTTCAATAAGTAATTTGTAGCAACGACTGTGTTGACTTCAATTTTGGAGTGAAGTAGCTACATTAAAGATTATTTGGTCTTATTGAAGCCAACATAGAACTTGCTGCTGTGGTTTTTCTTTAATGATAAATAAAATACTTACAGAATTTGAAGGGGGGGAAAAAAAAAAAAGGAAAAGATGAGCAATCCAACCAAAAAATGAGCAAAGGATATGAACAAGCAGTATAATAGGAAATAAAATGCAAATACAAACAGAACACAAATAAATAGAGATGATTACTTTTGTGGTTTTGGTGAACTACTCTTTCCTATGCCCTTGGAAATTGGACTTAAGACTTCTTAATGGAATCCCATCTTTTGCAAAAATAGAACACATGAAACAAGGAGGAAAATGTAAGACAGAAAACTATTTCTTTTTCTTGTCTTCATAGGAACCCAGTAATTCTTCACTGCAATAGACTCAACCACATTGTATGAAGTTAATAACCTACTCCAGGTGAGATAAAACACCCTTCGCGTCTCACAATGTTGGCTCTTTCTCAAAACACTCTGACAAAGCTATCTCCCGGTATTTTGAAAATTTGGCTTCTGTTATTCTGAGAAAAATTTATTAAATGAAGTTCAGAATTCTCTGATTTGAAGAAATTAAACAAGTCTTAGCTCTCATCTCCAGAAAAAGCTTAGAGCTAAGATCCAATAAAATAACTTTTAACAAAATCTCTCAAACCTATGGTCTTATTTGTTAATCTTTAAAATTTTTGTTTGGTTTTGTTTTTAATAGTTCATATCTTTCTTTTCTGTATGTAAACTTTTCTGCCTATTTGGTTTGGCACCCTCATACCTTTATAAATGTCAATGACTACTTAGTTGAAAGAAAAAAGAGAAATTACTCGCTAAGTTTGTTGCCGAGTTCTTGAAGAGCTTGCTCCTGTTCATGATATATTTTTTTCAACTGCTGATTTTCATCCTGGAGGTTAAGGAATTCCTTCAAAACATAAAAAAACAGAAAATGTAATTTAAAAGAAATAAGAAACTCTACATTGTATACATACCATTAATTAAGAACAGAAATTCTGCAGCTTTTTATAAAAAACAGAACTATATGTCCAAAGCTCTTTCATAGCTGCTCTATCAACTATCAACTATTTTCCATTCATTTAATCTCCTTACTGGTATTTTTAAAGATGACTAGTATATTCTATTTCCTTGGTATAAATGTAAATTATGATTTCTCTTTTTACAGAACTTTCATCAAAATGTAATTTTAAAAGTTTTACCACCATTTACTTTTTTAAGACTAACGATTTGTTGGGTCTCATTTCTAAGATGAGATAAGGCATCTTTCTCCTTTTGAAGATCTTCCTGTAAAGTCTGCCTCCATTCCTTCTCAATCTTCAAATCAGTTTCCAGTTGCACCCTTGAATGACAAACAGTAAACAGATGAGCTCAGAGCTACTTCTCACATGACAGTTGTTTGTACTCTTTAATAAGAGTATCTTTTTGGTTGACTACTTTTGCCTTTATAATTCATTTCTTCAGATATTTTCTTTCATCAGTGTTTTTTGTTCAGCAGCACAGGGTTTTCTGATCTCCAAGTATTAGTTTATGTGCCAACCATAAAAACTCCTTGTTAAACAATAATTTATGTCATTTATTAATTCTGTACACATAAGTGCTGTATAAGTATAGAAAATGCCTGGAAGGGCACATTATACTATTAAAACTGGATATGTCTTGGGAAAGGAAACAAGGAGAGAAATTTTTTAGAACAACAAAAAAATCATTTTGATAATTATTGCTCATACGTAGGTACAACAGGGGAGGCATGTACTAATAATACTACAGTTTCTAATACTTTACACTTTAATTGCAATATATAATAATACTGAGAACATCACATTTTAATATTTTTGTGTGTACACTTTTGTTTCCTCATAAAGTTAGCATGTCCATTTACAGCCACGTTATTTTTCTGTTTTTTTAAAGATTTCATTGGGGAATCGGGGAAGGGGAGCAGACAAGTTGCTGTCCTTTTGTTCTTCAGTCTAGTTGTGGAGGACATCCCTTCACTGGCCCATGTTGGTATTATCATTGAGATCTTCCTGGGTGAGGCAGTCGCTTGCCAGCCATTGGATGGCCGCTCACGGCAGGTCAAGGCAGCTCACGAAATTGCACACCAGCTGCCGGCCAGCCCCACTGCAGCCTATGCCAGTGACAGCTAGTCACAGCAGCCCAGCTCCAGGTGGAGCTGTTGCTCACCGTCTTAGCTGTACAGGGCACAGCATCACTGGCCCTCATGTGGGATCCGAACCAGGGCCCTGCTGCTCAGAGCTGGCATCCCAAGCCAACTCTTAACCAACGCACCACTCAGCCAACCCAAGCTATGTTATTTTTCAATGAAGTAAATTTTAGATTTTATAATTCAGGATGAAGAAAATAAATACCTCAAAACAAAATTTATAAATTGTTGACAAATACTATTTCACTACAAAATTAAAAGGAATGCAGAGGGACACTGAAGTAACCAATGTATAGTGTGCCTTGCTGAGTGGCCTCATCATCCAGAATCAGAAAAAAAAGGAGTGAAAAAGCAAAGGAAATTTTTGTTTTTAAGTTATCATAAATATATTGTCAGAATACATGTTGACCACTAGAAGCAGAAATTATAAAAGAAAATATAACTATATAAAAATTTTAGGGCCGGACGAGTGGCGCGATAGTTAAGAACTGGCTTGGGACGCCAGAGGGCCCCGGTTCGGATCCCACATATGAGGGCCAGTGACACTGCCCTCCACAGCTAAGATGCTGAACAACAGCTCAACCTGGAGCTGGGGTGCCCTGGGTCGCCTGCGACGGCGTAGGCTGCAGCCCCTGTGGCAGTAGGTTGCCATGGGCTACCGTGTGTGGCCAGCAGCCAGCATGAGTGGCCAACAGCCACAGTGAGCGGCCGTCCAGAAGCCAGCGACTGATGTGCCTCGCCCGGGAAGAGCGCAATGATTGGGCCAGTGAAGCAAAGTCCTCCACAACTAGACTTAAGAACAGCAACTTGTCTGTTCCCCTCCCCCCAACTCACCAATAAAAATCTTTAAAAAAAAATAAAACTTTAAGCCCTCTGTCTCTCAGACCCAAGGGCCCCCAGGCCTGAGGCTGTGACTGCCTTGCAGATGGTAACTCAGGATTGAAGCTGCCCCCCCAGTCAGCCCCTCCTCGAGAGGTCACCATTACTGGACTGGAGTCTAGGGTACGCAAGGTTGTGGCAAAACAGAGGCTATAAAGCTACAAATGATCATCATGAACAACTATCGACCCCTGGGACCCCAGCTCCAGACACCTATCATGGGCGGATGGATGGACACTTCCCTCTGCTTCCTCTGATCAACAGCAAGCAGACGAAACCCAAAGAAGCCTCAACAAACATTTACTTTACAGCAGGAAGCAGTAGCCCCAAAGTCCCCAAAGATTTAGGTTCCTAATGCTTGAGGAGGGAAATGATAGGTAAAAATTACAAAATGCAGGAGAAGGAGGAGGGGTGTGAGGGGGTCCATGGTGCCTACAGAAAAAGCTCCTAACTAGCTTTCATTAACTGCCTCCAGTCACGTATCTGTTTTTACAACAGACAATAAGAGGTGGTATGGAACAAGATTAAGGATCTGAATCAACAGACCTCCACCCATCTTAGGAGGTCACACCCTCCCATGGAAGAGCAAGCACCCCTTTCCCAGCCAAATCAGTATATAACTCCCCTACCCCACCTAGCAAACTATAAGTCCTTTGGGACAAGGGCTCTCTCTCTCTGGCCCTTGCTCTCTCCCCCTTTCTCCCCCTTTCCCTCTCTCTTTCTCTCTCTCTCTCCCCTTCTCCCCCACCTTGGCTAGGCCCGTTCTCTTCCCTGAGAATGTATCACAAATAAACCCTGCTTGCATATTAAAAAAAAAAAATTTAAATTTGTAATTGGAAAAAAACCACTATGAACAAAGTTTAAATGTTAACAATAAACTTTAGAAAACATTTTTGCTGTATGTAAAAGACCCAGAGTAAATATGTAAAGAGCTCCTACAAATAAATATTAAAAAGCTGAATACTCCGGGGGGGGGGGGGGGAATAGATATGAACTGGCAATTCACAAAATAAATGCAGGCTATCACTAATAATTAAAGATATGCAAACAAACAATAAAGCAAAATTTTTCAGGCTAAAGGATTCATTTAGGTAACTGTGACAGGATGGTGTAGACCTAAATTAATTCATATGATACAATGTCCATGATGTAGTAAATACAGTAAACAAGACACAAAAGAGCATGTAGCATGATCCTCTTTCTAAAACACGTAAAAAATATCTACATAATACCAAAATAATGTAATACCAAAAATAAATAAAGATATTCATCAAATTGTTAAAAAAAAAAAGTCCCAACTGCCCATTTTTATGGTAATGGTTCCAATTTTTCTGAGCCAGCAGGGATCCTTCCTGATCTCCAAATTGTTAACATTTCATGCTCTACCGAGATGGCACCACCTGAGAGACAAAATTACTTTCAGGTTTTCAGCAGGGACAAACATCTTCTCTCTGCAGCTGTACCATCTTATTGAGTAGGCTGGCCCTATAGGAAAGGGCCAGGCCCCTGTAGGGTTATTTAGGTCATCCTTTGGGCAGGGATCAAATAGCTGCATCACTGCAGAATAAATATCAGATTTATCTTACCTACACGTTTGTCAAATTCTAGAAAACTGATTCAGTATCAGAGAGTACCAGGGTTTCAAGGCTGTATTATAGTAACTGGCAAAGAGTGGCCCGCCTGGTTTTTCTTGTTTTTCATTTGGCAGAGCAGAGGGACTTAAACAACAAAACCCCTGACATCATTAATAAACTTGTTGACTTAAATGCTCCTCGTGATATTTGTTGCCCAGGGAGCCCTGAAAGTGCTGGCTGTACTTTTGTGAAAGTCTTAAAATTAAGAAAAAATGTTTGCTTACAGTGTTTTGTTTTGGGGGTAGGAGTGGGTTTTAGTTTCACAAAGCACACATGATGCAAGTTTTCAACCAAGGTAACATTCCCTGCCCTAAAGCCTTATCTATATACCAATTTCTCAAAATGTTATTTTTGTGGCAGATTTAAAAGGAACTTAGAATTCTGGTTCTAGACAAGATGGAGTACATATATTTCTACCTATCCATCCAATTATGTAGAGTTAAAAACCTTGGACATTATATATAAACAAACATAAGATTCTGAAAGGGAGAAAGAAGAAGGCAGACCAGCTAAAAATCCCAGGACTCAAGGAAGAACACGGTGATGAGCTCTGAGGCTTCTTTTTGCCTCCTATATAGCTAAGACTGTGTGTGTAAGCCCTGGAACCCACATACACCAATGGGAAGAGCCACAAAATAGCCACAAAAAAGACCTGCTCTCTCTTGCCAAAGAGCTAAAAAGAGGCAGCTTAGCATGATAGAAGCCTTTCTGACAATAAGTGCCCTATTCCAGCAAAACACTAGAGGAAAAAACCATAGGCCCTGACCAGTCAGCAAAGACCAAGTGGGGAGCCTAAATTTCCATCCTCACCTGGCAATAATGAGGTGTCCCTCCCGATCCCCACTGTGGTGGTATCAGAGAAGGCCAAATGGGGCATCTGAGCTTCTTCTACCCCTGCCCAGCAATAATGAGGTGTCTCTCCTCATCCACTCCTACGGTAACAGTGGAGGCCACGTGAGAAGCCAGCACTTTGATCCCCATGCATCAGCAACAAGGCATTTCTCACCCTCCCCACAGTGTCAGCCAAGGCCAAGTGAGCAGCCTAGATTTTTACCTCTGCGCTGTGGTAATGAGAGTATCTCTCCTACAGAGTGTCAGGGACCAGTGGAACTATTAAAAAAAGGTCTAACATTCATGTTATCAGAATCCCTGACGAGAGGAGAAAGCAAGTGGAACTGAAAAAAAATACCTGAAAAAATAATAGTCAAAAATTTTCCAAATTTGGCAAAGATAAAATTAAAGACTCAAGAAGCTGACCAAAGCCCAAACAGGATAAATCCAAAGAAAGAATCTTGAGAGTAATTAGAAGAACAATTCCAACGACAATCAGAAACTATAAAGGCCAAAAGAAAGTGGCACAACGCTTTTCAAGCACTGAACAAAAATAACTCTAAACTCAGAACTCCTAAAATATTCTGAAAATATCTTTCAGCAATGAAGGTGAAATCAAGATGTTCTCAGATCAAAGAAAACTAAGAGAATTTGTTGCCAACAGACCTACCCTCAAAGAATGGCTAAAGGAAGTTCTTCAGACACAAAGGAAAGTTGGAACATCAGGAATGATGAGAACAATAAAGAGAGTTTTCTAAATTATGTTTAATGGTTGAAGCACAAACTATAACATTGTCTGATGTGGTTCTCAATGTTATGTAGAGGAAATATTTAAGCAAATTATGTTATAAAGGGGAGACGTAAAAAGATCTAAGAGGAGGGGCCGGTTCAGTGGCTCAGTTGGTTAAGAGCTCGCTCAAGAGTTTGAGCTCTGAGCAACAGCAGTTCGATTCCTGGCCCAAGCTGAGCTGCCGCTGAGCTGCCAACAGGTGGCAGGATGGCTCAGCTAAAAAAAAAAAAAATCTAAGAGGAGGTAATGCTTCTACACTTCATTCAAAGTAGTAAAATGTTGATGCCAATAGATAAAAGTTGCAAATATATAATACAATGTCTAGAGCAACCACTGAAAAAATCTATACAAAGAAATACACCCAATTCCCCAATAAAAATCTTTAAAAAAAAAAAACACTACAGATACATCAAAAAGAATTCTAAGTAATATTTAAGTAACCCATGGAAAGGCAGAAAAAATAAAATGGAGGAATAAAAAAACAAAGAAGAAATAAAACAGCAGACTTAAGCTCTAATATATTGATAATTATACTAAATGGAAATAGGCTAACTACATCATTAAAAGAGATTAGCAGAATGGATAAAAAAACATGAACTATAAGAAACTTACTTCAAATATAATGATAAAGATTAAGCTGAAAATAGAAAAATGCAAACATTAATCTTTTGTTTACTACATGAAAACATTAATAAAAAAGAATGCAGGGCCAGCCGAGTGGCGCGTTACTTAAGAGTTTGCTTAAGAGCACGGGCTCTGAGCAACAGGGCAGCTGGTTCGATTCCCACATGGGCCAGTGACGCTGCACCTGAGCTGAGCTGCCCCTGATCCTCCAACAGGTGGCAGGATGGCTCACCTGATGAGAGCACGTGCTCCTAACAAGATTGCCTGTTTGATGGTGGGCTATGCCCACCAGCAACTAAGACTGAACTCGGCACCTTGAGCTGAGCTGCCGCCTGGATGGCTCAGTGGATACAGCGTGCGCTCTTAACAACAAGGCTGCTGGTTCTACTCCCACATGAGATGGTGGCTATACCCACCCACAACTAAAATTGAACACAACACCTTGAGCTGAGATGCCAAAGGGAAGCCAGATAGCGACTGGTACCCTCCACAACGAAGACTGAAGAACAACAACTTGGCTGGTCCCCCTCCCCAATTCCCCAACACTGTTCTCTTCTCCCAATTCCCCAATTAAAAAAAAAAAGGGGGGATCATAATTAGCTTGCTCTTCTTTCAACTCAATGACATTCTTCCCAGCTGACTATGTACAGATCTATCATATAGAAGTGCTAATAAAAATGTTCTGAGAAAGCATCATGCTCTTTGATAATATAGGTTTCTTGGACTTACAAAGGCCTATTATACTTAGTATCTAGAAACATAATGGCCATCAGATTAATGTTAAACAGCAGAAAGCATAAAACTCTCCTTGACCAAGAAGATAAGACAGTTGAAAGTGCTCTGCAAGTAACAAAGGGAGTAAAAACATAAGTTTTATCATTAGTATGCTTTCTAAGTTTTTTATCTTTTAAGGAGAACTTCACAATCTACACAATCTATCTGGCATCATTAAATAAATGAAAATGTAGGTATTCAACCATGTGAACAAAAAGGGGGTGGTGGGAATTATGTTAATACAAGTATTTGTTTCCAAGAGAGAAATACTCACAGTTGTTTCTCCTTTTGGGAGATTTGTTTCTGCAGACTGTCGGATTTACTCTGACATTCTTGTAGATATTTCTTGTCCTCATCTTCAGCTTCCATTTGCGCCTTCTCTGCTTGCTGCAATCTGGTGTAATTCAAATCAACTTTGGGTAAAACTGAGGCTAGAACTAGGGTGTAAAAGGGTGAAGAAGACAAATAAAAGAAAAATGGGGAAATAGAAACATTTCTAAATGAAAACAAAGTTTGGGGGAAAACTCACAAACTCAAACGTGAAAGAGCCACACAATGTCTAGAAGTTGTTTCGTGATTTTTTTTTCAATATAACATATAATATGCCCAGAATACTATCTTCAAATTTATTTTATTTCTTGTTCATAATTAACAATGCAAAGCAATACAGCCTTTACCACTTTTGTAGAGCGTAATGAATCAACTTCCAAAGTATAATAGGTATGTTACTGTCTTTGTACAAAACCATGAAAAGCATAGTACTTATGTCTACACTCGGTGAAGAAGCCGCACTGTTGTATTTTATGTTAGGATATGTATGCCAGGAATCAAGTGTGCTAACAAGGCCAAGAGCAAAAAACTGCAATTACTTCAAATCACAGCCAAGTCCTTCCTAAAGGATCATTATGCATTTATTAATTATGCCAAAGCTCTATGTGTACATGTGTGTGTTTTAAGATTTAACAGAATTTAGTACTAGTTAGCAACATTCTCTAGAGATCATTTTTGTTCCTCATCACTGAATTTTAAAAAGTAGCTAAAAATGTGATTTTCATTTTTTCTGTTTTTATTTGTAAGTCATTGCTTCTGCCTGTGCTTGGCTCCACTCCATGCCTCCTATGGCCATCTAGGATTTCTTAAGATTTAACTTCAATATTTTTATAAGAAAACATCTCCCAAGTATTCAAGGGACATTAATTTCTTACAGGGAATCATAAGAGAAATTTCTATTCAACTAACCAAAAAAATTGCCTCTTCTTTTCTTCCTTAAAACCATACCAATGGGGCAACCCCCACATATTTCAGAAGTATAAATGCCAATTCCAAGGAAAAGGGAGTAACACTGAAGTTATCTCTAAATCTAAATTTAAATTATTAACATGGGGGGATGGGTGGCCCAAGTTTTTCTCTAATGGTACAAAAACTAAAAGTCAAAGTGAGGTAGGCCTTGAAGTTGTGCTATCATAGAAGAGGGCTAAGGGGAACCAGAAACTTGAGGTGCTGAAGCACAAGATGATGGCCAATCTGGGTTATGAACTATTTTAAAACATATTTAAAAATCAGTAAAAGAGCCATTAGGCAAAGAGTGGACTTATGATGGGAAATAATATGTGCCAACACATTGTCAAACCAAAGGTTAACTTATTTTTAAACAATTTTTATATTTTCCATCAAAAAGTAGCTAAAAAGATAAAGCTGCATTTGAAAATCCTGACCTCCAAAGGTCAATACTCAAATCAGCCCTTGTGCACAAGGTTTGAGGGATGTGTTTTTGGAAATCCAAGTGCACCCACTCTGCTTTATGGCAGTGTATTACCACAGCAGCTGATCAAGAAGTGTACAGGGTTCCTAATACCCTTTTAGAATACTTAATAGCATAAATTCTTTTCTATTTAATATATTATAAAATTGTTGATTCTCTTTTAGTCTGTTTAAATACAAGTGGTTTTCAGAAAGATATATCTTTGACCAGCTTGTACTGGTCCTGAGTGTCACTGCTGGCACATTTCACCAATGACATTGCAATTGTCCTAGTTTGAGTTAACAAATCATTGTCACTTCATAATGGAATGGACAGAAATCAAAGACAGAAAAAGATAATAAAGATGTCCAAAATGTAAAAATGGGGATAAAGAAACAAAAAAGAAAAAAGAAGAAAGAGGATGTCAATAAAAGAATATTCATGTCAATAAAGCATTAATAGTTATGTTTTTCATAAGTAGATTCAAAGAAAGCAATGATAAGACATATGTTGACACCAACATGACAGGTCAATGGAAGTACATTACATTTTCCAACAATAAACGTGAAAAATGCCGATATAAAACAATTCAATTTTAAACAAAATTATTTCTTGGGTTGGGTTGAGGGTCCTAGCTTGAAGAAACACAACTAAACTGCCAACTCAGAAAGCTTGATTTCAGGTAAAGAGATGGTGAATGACAAAGGATATGACAATCAATATGCATGGAAATCAATAAGGGATAATTCAACCATGGATTTTGTTCGTTTTTTATTTTTTCGAGATTTTTGTTTGTGTATTTGTTTTATGTAACGTAACAGATTGAACCACATGAAAATTGCTGATATTAGGCCTTTTTAAAAAATCTACAAAATGGCAAGTTCAAATGAATCAGCCTAATATAAAGCAACTTGATTCCATGCAACAACCAAAACAAAAAGGCAAAATTCTGCTGGGCTTAAAAAACCATGTCCTAATCTAAATTTTCCTAATGATTTTTGTGGCAGATGTTAAGAGTTAAATAAAGAAAAGGAGGGGAAAGGAAGGAAAAAAAGAAACTACGACTGAAAATGCTGTACCTTTGTTCCAGCTGCCTCATGGCTACAGTAATTTTATTTGTTTTTTCTTCTAATCGGGCAATTATTTCATTTTTTTCTTTCAAACCATCTTCAGAACCCTATTTAGAAAAACACAGTGGTTTTGATTTTTAAACCTGAATATTTATAAGTTTTGTATACCATTTTGCTATGGGATTGTTACTTTGAAATGAGCAGAGTTAATTTATAGATTAAAATACTCCTACAATATAAAGCAGTAGTACTACTAGTCTTCATTTAAAGTAAAATAAAGGAAAAAAAACCACTCAGCCTTTAATGTTTTTGGAAGACAAACAAACTCTTGTAAAATATACTATTTTTCAAATTAAATTATAAAGGGCTTTTGGCAACATATCTAGTTAAGAAAAATGTCACTTTATTAGAAAATTTGTAATTATTATAGTAAAGCATTTCAATCAAATTAAATCTTTCTCAGGACTACACTATATAAAGAAGTTCAAAAAAAGGCCTTGCATATTTAGATTCAGTTTTACTAAAAGATTTACTTTTCATACTGTTAACCTTTCAGCATTAAGGAACAAATTCAGATAGGTGATTATTTGTTCTATGATACCTTTTTCATTGCTACATTTCTAAAGCTTCTATTTAGAAAACAAGTCACTGCTTTTTATTACCAACATGGCACTGTTAAAATAGGCTCATATCTTAAAAACCAAATCCTTTATACAAATATTCATTTTTCAATTTATATACAAGAAATTCCAAGAATTAAAAAATGTTCCTTACCTGCAACTTTTGATACATCTCTATGTTAATTGCTTTAACTTCCTCTAGCTGTTGTCGAAGGCCTATCAGAGTATCTTGTTTCTCATGGATATCCTTCTCCAACAACTTCATTGCAAGTTCAATTTCATGTTTCATACTAACTTGTACTGCTAGCTCGTTCTCCACATCCTGCAATTTCAACATATCCTCAATTCACATGTCACTTCAGGATGTCAAAATCAGGTACTCAACAATTAATGAGATAGATCAAGAAAGAGTTTCTAGAGCTGGCCGAGTGGCTCAGTTGGTTAAGAGTTGGCCTGGGAGCGCAAGCTCTGAGCAGCAGGGCTGCCGGTTAAATTCCCACATGGGCCAGTGACACTGCACCCTCTACGGCTAAGATTGTGAAAAACAGCTCGACCTGGAGCTGGGCTGCCGTGAGTGGCCAGCAACAGAGTGGGCTGCAGCCCCTGCAGGAGTGGGCTGCCGTGAGCTACCATGAGTGGCCGGCAGCTAGCATGAGCAGCCAGCAGCCGCCGAGAGCTGCCATGAGCCGCCGTGAGCGGCTGTCCAGAAGCCAGCAACCGAATGCCTCAGCCAGGAAGAGAGCAATGATAATACCAACATGGGCCAGTGAAGTGACGTCCTCCACAACTAGACTGAAGAACAAAAGGACAGCAACTTGTCTGTTCCCCTTCCCGAAATATCCAACACTTCCCTTATTCCCCAATAAAATCTTAAAAAAAAAAAGTTTCTATTCAATATGTGGACTACTCCTTTTGAGTTATCAGCTCCAGCAAAGGGAATCAACCAAGCCTATAACAACATTCTAAATATTTTCAAATGCATATTTTGCTAAAATGAAAGCATTTTCTAGATTCTGTTAATTATCACTATTCTACTGGCTAAAGATTGAAGTTTTTTTTTAATGATTTTATTGGGGAATTGGGGGAGGGGAACAGCATTGGGGAAATGGGGAAGGGGAACACACAAGTTGCTGTCCTTTTGTTCTCCAGTCTAATTGTGCAGGACGTCGCTTCACTGGCCCATATTGGTATTATCATTGCACTCTTTGGGTGAGGCAGATCAGTCCCCGGCCACTGGACGGCCACTCAAGGCGGCTCTTGGCAGCTCACGCCGGCTGCCGGCCGCTCACAGTAGCTTACGGGAGCCCACTGCAGCTCCACTGCAGCCTACGCCGTCGCTGGGGACTCATGGCAGCCCAGCTACAGGTCAAGCTATTGTTCACCATCTTAGCTGTAGAGGACATGGAGTCACTGGCCCTCATGTGGGGTCTGAACCGGGACCCTGCTGCTCAGAGCTGGTGTCCCAAGCCAGCTCTTAACCAACGCGCCACTCAGCTGGCCAAAGATTGAAGTATTTTTATGTCTCATAAACTCAGTATAATTTTCCTTAAACAAAAAAAAAATGAAGCGGTCCATGTAAGTGAAAGCCAAAGATAACTCAAAAATCCTATTTCACAGTTTTAATTTCTTCTCGTAAAGAATTTTACATCAAAAGGAAAAGAAGTTTCCTAATATTAAAGACAAATAGAAAAGGGATGAAAAAGGTGGCAATACTCTTCTTGAGCTGGGTGGCAGTTACACAGGTATTTACATTATAATCCATTAAGCTTTACGTTTGTATTTTTCTGTAGGTATTATATTTCACAAATTAAAAGGGTAAAAAAAAAAAGCTCATAGGGCCAGCTGAGTAGCACATTGGTTAAGAGCTGGCTTGGGACTCCAGAAGGCCCCAGTTCGGACCCCACATATGAGGGCCA